TGCAGGAAAAACTCTCGTCTGGGTGCTGCAAACACTGCATTTACCCGCTGGCTGCCTGCGAATTATGACGATGGGGTTTATATCCCCCGCGGCTGGGATCCCTGTAAAACACATAATGGATTTGTCCTTCCACTGGTAACTATCAGCCTCTCTCCACCTTGCTTGCTGCACTAGATTCTGCAGTGACTATGGACTGTCCAGAACACCAGCACACCTTGCCCTAACAAAGGGGATCTCTTTAGGATTAATGTTTTGTATTGCCCATTTAGCGAGTGATGCATTCTGCCATTCACATTAGGACACTAACTAGGACTTCGTACATTCAAACGCTACTTTCCCTGCGGTTTTTGGCTGTATGGTTTTATTTTCCCCAGTCATAGTATGAGACTGTAAGCAATTTGTATCCTCATATCCATATGTCTTGTGTGAGTATTTGTTGATGTGGCACAGTAGCCTGGCGGTTATCACTGCAGTTCTTGGGTCCTTGGTTTCAGCTGATGGGTTGCTGGGGGATTCTGGCCTGGCACGCCTTCTGTGTGGAGTAGTGTGTCCCATTTGTCCATGTGGGCTTTTGTAGGGTTCTCTGGTGCTTCCTTCCAAAGACATGCTGACTAGGTTAAATGGCGCATCTAAATTGACCATGTGGGCCTGTGTGTGTGCCCTGTGCCTGTCCAGGCTGTCGTCCTGCCTCAGGCCCTGTGCCCATGGGATAGGCTCCAGCTTGCCACGAATCAGGGAAAGGGGGCTTCCCAATAATGGCTGGATCTCTTCACACTTGGGAAGATGTCTTTTATGAAGTTATTGTCCCATGGGTACGAGTGACCTGATCAGAGGCTCTTTATTTGTCCCACAGGTCCGTGAGGTCTCCAACAAGATTCTGAGCACTCGCAATGAAGAAATTGAAATTGATAGCGTTAACACCCACTTTATGGTCATCTTTGGTCAGTGGACTGACCACGACCTCACGCTCACTCCCTTTTCTCCCAGCATCCGCTCCTTCAGCAACGGCATCAACTGTGATGAGAGCTGTGAACGGGCAAGCCCCTGCTTCCCCATCAAGGTAGTGTACTGTGCAAGCCCTCCTGCTGTACTGAGCCTCCCCTGCAGGGGGCAGTGTGATTGTCCCATGACAATAACGTTCTACTGAAAGCAAGTCAGGAGCACATTCTGCTCAGAAGCTAAAAGCTTTGAAAATCTCCTGATTCGTTGGGTTCCCCGCTTTGCACTGGGACTGATCACTTCGATTTGTTTGTTCACAGGTCCCCAAAAATGACCCCAGAATTAAGAACCCCGCTGCCTGCATCGCTTTCTTCCGCTCGGCCCCAGCGTGCGCCACTGGGGACAGCGCATACATGTTCGGTGATCCCAACGTCCGGCAGCAGATCAACTCCCTCACCGCCTTCATCGACGTAGGCCAGGTGTACAGCCCTGAAGAGAGCTTAGCCAAGGGGCTGCGCAACCTGACCAATGATCTGGGCTTAATGGCCGTCAACCAGAACTTCACCGACAATGGGCTGGAGCTCCTGCCCTTCACGAACGTGTCCAGCAATATGTGTGCAACCCGGAGGAAAGGCACCAATAACAGCGCATTGAATGAAATCCCCTGCTTTGTGGCAGGTGAGTCCCACAGTGTTCCATACTGGTACCCCTGTCCAGTTGTATCCCATGCAACTTGTGGTCATTCGTCAGTCTGCTTTCTGCGTGGGTGTATTGTTTTTACTTCTTAGGTCATAGTTATATGAACTTATACGTTAAGCCAAACACTGGTTTTCAGTTTATATATGATGAAAGATGGGCAGCAAGAACAAAGAAACATCAAAGTATATCAACAGCATTGCTGCATCCTGGAGCTTTCCGAAACTCAACCAGAGCTAATCGGCAAAAAAAAAAACCAAGGGACTTTAGATATCAACCAGACCACTTAGCAGTCATGGTCATCTGGCTGATGTCCTTCCTCCAACGCAGGTGATGAACGAGTCAATGAGAACATCGGCCTGACTGCTGTCCACACGCTGTTTGTCCGGGAACACAACCGCCTGGCACGTGCCCTCCGTGCACTCAACCCCCACTGGAGTGGGGAGAAACTCTACCAGGAGGCTCGGAAGATCATGGGAGGGTATCACCAGGTAGGGCACGTGATATCCATAGCTACACCAGAGACACACAGCTCTGGTCCTCAGGGGTCTCATCCAGGCAGGTATTGAAAACCGACTTCAAAATCCTCATGCTCACTATAAGACTCTGGATGGCCTGCCACAGCAGTACCTGTCTGAGCTATTATTGCCCTACTCCCCACCTCGCAACCTTCACCTCTCCAATTCTGGTCTCCTATCTGTCCCCCAAGTCTGTCTGCACTCTATAGGTGACAGGGCCTTCTCCTGTTATGCCCCAATCCCCAAGGATATCAGAGAGTCATCTTCTCTAAACTCCTTCAAATCCAGACTCAAAACCTTCTTCTTTAGAAGAACCTTTACTTAACTGGTTCTGTTCTTTACCCCTCTGCTCCTACTGTATCCAGTACCTCCGTCTATGGTCTTCTCTCTTTCTGTATTCTCATCTTGCATGTCTTGTGTGTTCTTTTTATTGCTGTTGTCATTCTGTAAAGCACTTTGAGAAGCCATCTTTAAAGGCGCTATGTAAAGTAAAGTTTTTTAATTCTTATTATTATTCATTCTAGGTGTTATCATTCTTTGATGACTTTCTAAATGTGGGCCATGTCTAAAACGTTTCAAAGTGCCACTTGGCTTTCGGCAACAGCTCCTCAGTACAGTGTAAAAACGGTCCGAAGAGTGGAGAGTGAAGAGTGCCTGGTTTTGTGCATTGCAGTCTACGTTCCCTTTCTCATCTTGGTGACCTTTCTGACCCCCCAATAGGTCATCACCTACCGCGACTATCTGCCGCGCATCCTGGGGGAGCGCATGATGCAGCTCCAAGTCGGCCCGTACACCGGCTACGACGAGAACGTCGACCCCCGAATCTCCAACGTCTTCGCCACTGCCGCCTTCCGCTTTGCCCACCTCACCATTCAGCCCTCCATGTTCCGGCTGGATGAAAACTACAACGAGCACCGCCAGTTCCCCAGCGTCCTGCTGCACAACGCCTTCTTTGCCAACTGGAGGCTGGTGTTCGAAGGTGCGCTTGTCCCCTGACCTCCCTCCCACGGCAGAACCCAGCTGCGCCAGCTGTCGTGATTTCAAAACTAAGAGAGTCGCTTTGGTCTTTTTTTTTTCCCCACTCATTAACAGTCTAGGCCTTGAATTTCTGCATTCCTTTGACAGTCCTGTATATTCTGTGATTTTCTGGAATTCCGGAGTTTAGGAACCTACAGAAAACAGACTCAAAAGTTCTCTGAGAGAAGTTAAGCACGTGATCATTTCAAATTAAAGACGATGTTCTGCGTTTTCCTGAGCTGAATGCTTTTTGGAAACAGACCTGCACGGTTTGACAGTTATCGTGATTTGAAAGCGAGGATGACATTCAAAAAAATAAGTTTTCATAAGAAGTTTAATAAGTTTTGATATTTAATAATATAAAAGAATATGTCTGCAGTAGGGAGGACAGTAATTTCAGCTAACCTGCCACTAGAGGTTATTAAGGCCTCTGTTGTTTGTAGATAGTCACACTGGTGGTGCACTGACTGGGTTAGTTAATTGATGAAGTTCACATGGGGTTAATCTGGAATAGATTGGTATATAAATGGATTTATAGTGACAGATGGTGTTGGGCTGGTGTAGAGCAGGTCTCTGTGTTGTGTAGTGAAGAGCCTTGTTAAGTAAGACGCATAATGAGTCTCTTGTCTTTGTCTTTGTGGTCCATGTGGTTTCCCACATGCTCAGGCTCATGAGCTGCCTGCTGAGAGGCAGGCCTGTCGCAACTTCCTACTGGCTACTTAGTATGGTAAGAGAATTTCACATGATGCTTACCTTCTGCGATCTCTTGCAGGTGGAATTGATCCTCTGATCAGGGGTCTCATTGGCCGTCAAGCCAAACTCAACACCCAGCAGCACATGTTGCACCAGGAGCTGAGAGACAGGCTCTTCGAGCTGACCAGCCACATCGCCCTGGACCTAGCGGCCCTCAACATGCAACGCTCCAGAGACCACGGGGTGCCAGGTGAGACCCTGCCGGCCCTGCAGCTCACTGTGATGAGGATGCAGTGTGGAATTCCTGATTGCTGCAGAAGCTCTAATCCCATGCACAGACCATCAGCTTCTGTGTTGGTCTTTTTGGTTTTGTAGTAGATATTGCTTTGGCACCAGTGCTAGGCTGTAGGTTGTACTGTCAAAAACCAGTTTCATGCTGGTTATAACAGCTTGGCGGAGAGCTAGCCTAAGACAGAACATGCACTGTGTACAATGGGTGGGCTGTGTTATTCTGTTCCTGAGCTCAGTTTAAATGCTGAGTAGAACTGAGAATCTCATCTCAGTTAATTGTATGGAGATTAAAACAGGATCTGTTCTAATCCCCGGGCTACTGGTCCTGAAGGGCAAGTGTGTCTCTAGGTTTTCTAAGATTCTTTAAAACAGGAGCACCTGAAGACCTGTGAAAAGATGTTAAACTGGTTCAATTAAGCCAGCAATGAGCTGATTCAGAGCCCACCTGGACTGACTCTGTAGACACTGTGGCCCTCCAGGACCAGGACAGAAGGTCTCTGCTTTAACTCATATGCCTGCCTGTGGTTTTGTCTGTATGAACAGGGTACAATGCCTGGAGGAAATTCTGTCGTCTCTCTCAGCCCAAGAACGTGCAGGAGCTGGGACTCGTGCTCAACAACACGGACCTGGCGAAGCGGCTGATTGACCTGTACGGGACTCCAGACAACATTGACATCTGGCTGGGCGGCATCTCCGAACCCTTCGTGCCAGGGGGGAGGGTGGGCCCACTCTTTGCCTGCATCATCGGCACACAGTTCCAGCGGATCCGAAATGGGGACAGGTAAGCCGGATTTCAGGAATGCGCTGCTGATTAGTGGCGACTGGGGTGAGATCCTGAACAAGGTGATCCGTGGCTGTCATTGCAGGTTCTGGTGGGAAAATCCCGGAGTGTTCACACAGAGGCAGAGGGAATCCTTGAACCGTGTCTCCTTGGCAAGGATCATCTGTGACAACACCCGGATTAGAGACGTACCAGCTCAGCCCTTCCAGTACCGGCCGCGCGGATCAGGCTACACCAATTGCGGGCAGATCCCACAGTTTGACCTCTCCCCCTGGAATGAACCAAGTGAGTCTCCTTCCCAACTGCCTTTACTCTGCTTCCATAGAAAACTCCCACATACTCCTTTGATGTAGTTGGTTGTGGAACTGAACTTGCACCCTACCGCCATGTAGCTTTATTGACTTGTCTGTTTGTTTTTTCTTCATCCTTCGAAGTCAATCTTTTGCGTGATGTAATTTGGAACCAGCAGTTACTGTATTATTGAAGGTTCCCCGTGGTTCTGACCTAGAAGAGAACGGTCCTTCTCATGCATTCCTGGTCTGTCATCTCTTTTTGCCACACAGTTTGATAACAAATGGGTGCAAATTGACTTGTGTCACTCCAAATTCTGTATTCTGTAGGGCCTCCATGTTCTACTGTCTCATTCCACCACCCTTTGTATTCCAGTGGTTCACCTAGTTCCTGTATGAAGTGCTAATGCAACTGCATCCCGATTCCTGTTTTGCCTACTTACAAAAGATGCCTCCTGTCACTACAGGCCAGAGTTGGCCATCAGTGCAACAGGGATTGAGAGTTGGGACCTCTAAACTATAACATGTATTCCCTGCTCCAGTTGGAGGATGAGTCTCCCAAATGTTTAATAATGTTAAGGGGCCATAAGGAAGACAACTGGGCATCTCTAATTGGCTTTTCACCCTCTACCTGCCCCACCCTAGCCTGCTTCCCTTACTTCTCATGGTCCTGGATATTACTGTGACCGTTTTGTTCTTGTTACTGTCATATTTAACTTTGCAGACCCGGCGAGCAACAGCGTTGTTGAGACAGAAGATTCCTTTTCTGAGCAGAGCTCAAGATCTCAGGTTAGACAACAGTCAGAAACACTGACAAAACTCTACCTGCACTCCAGTCTCATAATTCCTGGTCTTTATTGTTTTGCAATTATAACGCTTTGTGCAACCTTACCAATTGTTCAGCGCACATAAAACCATGCACTTTTTAAGTGATTTACAGTATGTGCACAACTCCAGTCCTAAAGGCCTACGATCTGAGAGGATCTGCACTTCTGTTTATCTGTTTGAAAAAGAGACCTGGAATTAGTGATAAATTGTTCAGGGTCCAGCTAATGATTCATTTCATTTGGTAATAAAGACCTCAGAGCTGTGAATCCTTAGTACTAATCCTAAATGAATGATTCTTGAGTTCTTGTTCAACTTTTTGTGTGAAATGAACAAAAATTTTGTTTGTGCTTTGTACACTTTACAGTGCTCTGTACCACATTCTAGACAATGACAACCAACCTGTTTTATGGATTTTAATCTGTTTGAACCTGTTTTATGTTTGTCTTAGAGCTACTTACTAGAATCATTCCCAGTAAATTCACGTTTTTATAGTTGAAGTTGTATACTTCGACTATGAATTACGTTTTAATAAGGCAATTCAAGTTTTTATAAGACAAAG